CTCTCTGCCGCACTCGATATATTATCCGTTTTTGATCTGCACACAGCTGTTGCCACGAACGTCGCATTCGCTTACGTCATTGTCATAAGATAAGATAAGATAACCTTTATTAGTCCCACACGTGGGAAATTTGTTTTGTCACAGCAGGAAGTGGACAGTGCAAAAGTTATGAGGCAAAAATTAGAATAGTCATGAGACACTCTCGCAAAAAAAATCACGGTTTTAGTAACGCAGTAGCATGCTCACGGGAAAGTAACAGTAATCTAATTACCTTTTTTGAAATGTAATCCCTTACTCTACTCGTTACTTGAAAAAAGTAATCGGATTACGGTAATGCGTTACTGCTCATCTCTGGTCATAACCCTGCCAGGCTGGCAGGCAACATGAACACCAAAGTTTATGAACATGATAATTTGAGAATGAAACGATATAGGATTTTCAATTTGATACCGTAGGTGTATCAACTATGAGGCTGAGGGGTACCACGAGCCACACGGCATTTTCTTTTCACTTTGCTTAGTGGGAGGAGTCCTCATCACCAGAGGACTCTGTTTGTAGTAAATGGTGTCAGCAAGAAACACAAAGAGCAGTTTCCCATCTGAGAACAAGATGTGATCTGAACTTGATTTTACCAATACATAAAGTAAAGTTGTTGTTGTCAGTTGGCTCAGTCCATCCCTACTGGACCGATCCAACCTTTTTCCGAGTTCTGATCTGATAAACTACCTTTGCCGTGGGTATAAGGAGAGTGAAAGTAAACAAACATCTTTATCAGATCTTTCCAGTCCTGCAGGCTCACTTTGAAGATATTTCACACATAATGCATATACTACTATACCAACAGCTTCTGTCTGGAGGTTTGCAAACATTTTTTACATCACTTGAAGATGGTCAGACTGCTCAAATTCTGTGCTTAGCTTCCTTCATCCTACATTTGATCTACTGCTAGCTGCTGCTGTTGTGTGAATAAGTAAACCCAGAATAACACAGAGCAGGATTTCTTTCTTTGCACTGTGCATCGACTCATTGTCACTGATATTCGATCCAGCCTTTTGGATCAGTGTCAGATTTATATCCAATCCAAATATCAGAGTATCCCTAATAAGGCCTGGAAGTTTGAGGGTTCTGCACAGTATCTTAGCTATTCCCAGGACTGCACTCTGCATTCTGGACAGAGACCTCTTATGTAATCTCTTATTGTCACTCAACCCACTTTGGACTTTACCTTCCACATTTGGTTCATTTGTTCCTTTAGCCCCATTACTATTCCACGGCCTACTTCCTCATGTTTCTTCTTCCTCATGTTACTGTCCACTGAGTTTGCCACATCTAAACACAACTGCAGTCTTATGTACCTTGTCAACCACCATTATGTCTGATTGGTTGGCCATCAACTGCTTGTCTGTCCCACTGGACATTAACCTTGTTCTTCTCAACCACCTTTGGTCGTGTCTCTCATCGAGAATTGAGGACTTCTAATGCATTTCACAGATGTGAAATGCATTAGAAATGCTGTACATTGCTTGGTCCACACTTCCCAGCTTGCATCTTACATCCTGCTACTATGTGTTGGCTGGTGCTAGATTCCTGCCTCTCTGGATTTGGTGCTTGTGAGGAGTTTTCATGTCTTGACATCAGTGGCTTCAATCTTCGACCTTCGGGCATCTTTATCATGGTTCCTGTTGACCTGTGGGATACTTAGGTACTTGTAGCTGTCCTGTATGTCTGCTATTCCGCTTTCTGGTAGATCCACTCCTTCAGTCCAGTCCGAATGAGGATTGTGGTGAAGTGAATCAGTAAGTCAATGACTTGCTCACTTCTGGTATACAGCTTGGAAGTCATCCAAGGAATCGTACCGGAGGAGGCTAATGGTCACTCCAGTCTTGCTAACCACCAACGCGCAAACATCCAATAGGAACAACTCAGTACATTTAGGCATGCAGGCATGGTCAAGATGACCTGCTGAAGTTCATACCAAGTACTGAATGTGACTTTAAATACAGCATGGTAATTGGTACAAGACTGGGTAGTCTGAGTATTTCAGAAACTGCTGATCTACTGGGATTTCCCACATAACCATCTGTAGGGTTTGTAGAGAATGGTCCAAAAAAGAGAATATCCGGTGAGCAACATTTCTCTGGGTGATAATGAATTTTTGGTAAGTGATATTTTGTTGGCACACTTTGGGCCCCTTACTACCAATAGAGCATTGCTTAAATGTCACAACCTACCTGAGTATTGTTGCTGACCATGCTCATCCCTTTATGACCACAGTGTACTAATCTTTTGCTGGTTTCTTGTACCAGGATAACTTGTCGTATCACATCGCTCACATCATCTCAAACAGTTGACTGCACGCAGATGGCCGCCACAGTCACCAGATCACAATTCAGTAGAATACCTTTAAATTGTGGTTGAATGTTCAGCTGACAAATCGGCAGCAACTACATAATAGTGTCATGTCAATATAGACCAAATTATGTGGTGAATGCTTCAAGCTACCACTAAAAATTAAGACTGTTCTGAATGGCGTCCAAGCTGGTACTAGCAAGGTATACCTAATTAAGTGTGGTAGAAATGGCTTTGAATAACACAGTCAGTGTATGTGTATGTAATGTCTTTGAGCAAAAATCTCAGAGTTCTCTAATCGCTATTTATTTCTACCAGTTTGAGTGTATATTCCTAATATGGTCATCTCAGGAACACAGCTCTGTGGATAAGCATAGAAACCCCACTTGCATGACATTTCTCATATAGTTATTTACTCAACATGCATTATGATGTGCTTGTATTTAGTAGCTGTTGTGAAGTGTCAGATGTATACAAGAGCAGGGAGCTTGTGTATATCTCCATAACAACGTACAGCTCCAGAGCTTCCCACTTAGCATTAAGGCGAGCTCTCAATGTCTGTCTCAGACCACTTTACTGAAGATAAATGGTGTGCCCTATGCTAATAGTATTGATACGGCTCCACAGTAAAGCAGTGGCTTTCTGTGTGCCACAGCTATTTGTTTGATGTGGACTGACAGAGCTGAGTGCTTCTCTGATGATCATCATTTCTTTCATATGGTCTTTGCTGCCCTTCAGTATGTTGCTGCTCCTCTATATATTGCTGTTTTATGGTCTGACTCATTACATACCATTTGCCAGTCTTACCAGAAGAACTTTAAAAAGAACTGCTCATTATTCATACTCACTATGTAAATAGATTAGATCTCATCAGTTGTTACCACAGATATATTGAATATATAACCACATCATGCTAATGTTTGCTTCCTGACTGAATATTCATCTTTAATTGGTCTGTTTCATGTACACACTCTCCTATTAACCAGTTATGTTGGCTTTAATTTGTGGTCTCTTGCTTCTGCAGAGACAGCTCCACGGAGGGTGAGTAGCTCACAGGCTGTGTGCGATTGCGGAGACTCTTTTGTGTTTTCACTGCCGAGCACTTGGTTGATATTTAATTACTTATAAAGTTGGCTAGTCACCGTGTGTTCTAATACAGATGTTTTTGGTGTGAGTTTGTGATCTAACAAGCGGAGATGTGTGATGCTGTGATACTACAGTTAACAGTTTAGTAAGAGAACCACTTAATGCTCATAATCAAGGTGGAAAACAGATGCTGGTGATTCACCTGTCAGCATGAAAGAAGATTCCCGTCGTAGCATCTGAGCGAATGAATGTCTCCTCAAATATGAAATGTATATCCTAGGCTTCTCCTACCTTGTCAGCCTTCTTTCTATCAGTCTGACTGTCCTCAGAAAGACAGCCATTCAGACAGAATGAGAGCTAAATGAAGATGGTTTTCTGCGACTTAAGGCAAGCTGCTACATTAATGTAGTAACTCAAGTAGGCAGACATGCTGTGTCGGAGGTTGGAGGCCAATGATGAAGACATCTTTGGTAGAAGAAGCTACCTGAGAAATTGCACATTACAAAACAAGCAGACATTGATTCCAGTTCTCAGTCTGAACCAGAAGTTCTGACCTGAAGCTCTAAAGCTGAAGTGGTTCTTTACAAGACTGTGTCGCACACAAATCTGATGCACATGTAACAGCTATCCTCTGATGTTCCTGCAGCTGAACTCCAATTTAGATTATGAACTGCGTAAACCGAAGTTTCATCTTAAGTGAACCATAAGAGTAAAATCATTCTGTAATAACCGTATGGAACAAACATCCTTCTTTTTTCTGTATTAATTATGAAGAAGTTCAACAACATTCTGAAGCTTTTCACATTTATTAAGGAATCATTTAGAAAATCAGGCAGATGTGTAATTTCAACAGTTGTATATACTCTACAGTGCAAAATCATAAGAATATTTATGCTGAGAGTTTTACAGATCCACAGAGTCTCTGTTTAGAAGTCAGGAGAATGTGTACATCCTATTTTTGTTGTTTTTTTTTTTTTACTTGGTTTTGCTTTGTTTGGCTTTTTTACACTCAGGTTGTTGCTATTTCACGACAAGACATCAATATATGACGAGTAGGAAGTGACACTGTTGCTATAACTCAGTGTGTCATGTGCTACTGCCGAAGGACCCCTCATGTGTCGATGTGATACACCAGTGGTTTTGGCACGCTCAATGTTTGTGAGCCAGTTTGCCTTTAGTGTGGTACAGCTGGCTGAGAGCCACAGAGCTTTTTAAACTCACTTAGTGAAACGTTTTTTCCAGCATGACAGCTGGACTAATTCACTCAAGAACCAGATCAATAAGAGAGTTCTAGGATTTATGGTTTAAGTTCATTAAATTTGAAAATCGGAAAGAAGTGTTTGATTAGACTAAAACGGAACATGAAGCTCTCTCCCTCATGCTACTCTATAGAATAATAATGTGGTGGGGTGAAATGCATTCAGACATAGAGGGTATCATAGTGTGTATGCAGCATGGACTCGTTTGGAGAACTCATGCAAGGATCTCAGATTCCCACAGGAGATACTTGATCAGACGGATTAGCAGCTTTCTTGGCTGCACTTCTTCAGCTACATGTCACCTTGCTCTGCACCACCATCTGAACACATCAGTCACAGCAGACTGAGAGGCCGGCACAAGATCCTGCCATAGTTTAACCCTGCTGTCATTAGGAAGAGAACTGGTAGATACATGTCACACCGATGCCATCCCAGTGGATACATGTCTGACTTTCCAGGGCTGCGTGTAGAGTGTTTTTCTGTAGCTCTGTTCTAAACACGGCACTGCACATTAGTGACGGCATGAACTTGTTGGTTTATCCAAGTGTTCAAGCTGCCCGTTTAAAGTGTTGATTATCCCGGTTGATGCAAGTGCAACAGTACGATGGTGGTCAAAGCAGCAGAAGCCTTGTTTGTATAAGGTGTCCTCTGCTGTTATCATGACTGCCAAAGAAATTAGCTGAAGGCTAACAGCCATGTATCAAAGCCATCGCACAGTCTACACGAACCACGCTCGATTGATTTGCTCTGTCCATGTAGCATTACGGCCTACAGTTATCTAACTTTACTGAAATCTGACAGTCTGTGGGTGTCTGCACTAATTAAACATCATTGAAAGGTGGTTCAGTTCTTATAGGTTGTCAGGTTTTTCTGTGTGACAGCAGTTTGACTTTGCATTAGATTTGTTATAAAGTAACTGGTTACCTAAATCAGCGGTCCCCAACCTTTTTTGCGCCACAGACCGGTTTGTGCCCGACAATATTTTCACGGACCGGCCTTTAAGGAGTCGCAGATAAATACAACAAAATAAAACTAGTACCGGTACCGAAAAAAGAAGATTTATTCATAACACACGTGAAAAGACCCAGGAAAACTGAGTTAAAGAAAAAAAAAGATAAAAACCCTGAAAACCATACATTTCACACCCGAGTCTCAACTCTCGCAGCCCGGTACCAAACGACTCATGGACCAGTACCGGTCCGTGGCCCGGGGGTTGAGGACCGCTGACCTAAATGGTGAGCGATTGATAGAACAGGATGTCTTGATCTGAGTATCTGCTAGGGACACTGAAGCCAGGAACAATTGGTCATTGCCTGAAAAACTTAATTACTTAATTACAAAGTGATGGGTTCCCAGATTTGAGCCTCCTAGTTTGATTGAAGTTTTGCGGGGGTGGGGGCGACTGGGCTTTAAATAAGGTCCTGAGCTCCTTTAAGTCAGAGTCAGCAGTCAGGGATGAACACTCAGCAGAATCGGTCCACAACAGAGAGCTGTGCACTCTTCACACTACACACTTTGTAACAACACCTCAGACCTTGACAAGACATTGCAGCTTAGCAGTGCAGCATTTGTCACATGCACACACAATTCATTTTCACAGAGGAGAACACAGCGTCCCTCACGACGCTAATAAGTGTGTGGCTGTGTGTGTAAAGACTTCAACCTTCATTCACAAATGCATATGTGCATGTTTTGGGAGTATTTGCGGGTTGTTGGTTTTTTTTTTGCTCCTCCCTCAGGGTAGGTACTCTCAAGTACCTCACACTGTGTTACATCTGTATGATGTTTGATCTAGAGGTGTCCCCAGAGTTCTTTGGTCCCAAACAAAAATGTCTTTGGTGGTCACGTGTGTTGCGAGGGTTGACTCTGGTGTGGAAGGTGGACTAGCTTGTTTTAGCGTTTATTTTACTCATGTTGTAGCTTCAGTTAAACTCCACAGTAATGTAACTAGTCCGAGTTTAGGGTCAGTGTAAGGTTAGAGTAAGGCTGGGGACTAATTATGGTAAAGGTTTAAATAAGTCGCTGTGAAATATCTAATGTCACGCCCTCCAAACACATGGAGACACAACTCTGTGTGTGTTTGTGTGTGAGTTTGTGCTGTGGGTTTTTAAAGTCCTGCTTTCTGTCCTCGCTGATGAATAATGACGTGTTCAGACTATTAGCAGGGCTAGCAGTGGCTCTGGGTTCAGAGACGAAGGTCTGTAGACAGCACTGTGAGCAAGAGATGATGCTTTATCTAAGATTTTCATCGTAATGAGCTGTGTTTGTATCAAGGCAGGATCTTGATACAAACTATCATTTGAATTGTTAATCTGTGGTTTTAGGAATATAAAATGTGTGAAAAACCATTTTTCAAAAATATTTGTTTTTCAAAATAAATGAATCAACTTAGTTTCTTTCTTTTTTTTGTTTTTAACAGAATATCCAAGTGTTTTTCATAAAAGCAGATTGTCTGAAAAGGCAAAACACAGTTGTGTCGATGTAGCTGTCAGCCTCTAAAGCGTTGCTTTAATGTGATCAGCTGGACCTGTGCTAATAGTGTTTTTAGCCCTCAGCGTAGACACGGCATCACCGTCTTTGTCTGTCAGTTTGTGTAGAACTTTGTAAGAACTACTTTGCTGACTCGAGACCACGTGTTCATACATATATGTACATTTTCTAGCTTTGATCATTCATCCTGCTTGTCAGTGTGAACATTTCACAGTCCATCCACCCACCCAGACCTTTAGCACGTCCTGGGTCTGCCCCAGGGTCTTCTCAGATCACATGTAAGGCATCCAGGAGGCATGCTGGTCAAATATCTGAACCACCGTAATTGGCTCCTTTTTAATGTGAAGGAGTAGCAGCTCTATTCTGAGCTCTTATTGAATGACTCAGCTTCTTGCCCCATTGCTGAGGATGAGCTCAGACACCCTTTCTCAGCCACTTCTATCTGTAGAAGTACTTCTGTTTCACTTTTCCAGGCATTAGCTCCAGCTCATTGCTGTAGGTGAAGGGTAGGAATGTAGATCAACAGATTCACCTTTGGGCTAAGATATCTGTAGACATGCTGAACCAATCTGCCGATGACAGTGCCCTCTACGCAGCAACTCGTCCACTACCCAGAGAAAGCAATGCACCTTTATCTGACTAACAACAGTGGCCTGTTTCTGTCCTGAATGATGCAAGTATCCCTTATGTTGAGGGAAAAACAAAACTGAATTATAATAATTAAACAGTTGAAAACGTATTTGCTTTACCTTGTCCAGTCTGCAAGAATTACATTTAACTTGTATGATGTAAAACCAGGCTTTAGATTTTGTTTGCATTAGAATACATTAATTAACCTCTTGCCAGAAGCTCGGAGGAATTATTTGATTAAAACATGAGTCTGAAGATGCCCCTCTTCCCTTAATGCTGATCTTGGCAAAGTCCTGCGCAGCAATTTCTTAAAGTGTGAGCTGGAACTGTTAAGGCCAGCTTGAGCCAAAAACTGTCCGCACTATTAGACTACACCTCCATTTAGTCTGTATATGTCCTCCTCTCTGAGCTCCTGTGTGACCTTGTGGAAAAAGTTCCAGCAGGCAGACCTGTGGGGTTGGACAGCTGTGACAAAATCAGATCTGTGACAGAGGATCAGGTTTTTGCTTACAGTGTAACTAAAGCTTGCATCGATGAAGATGAGCTACACTGTCCTTCAGTCCTCTTAGAGAAACATGTAGTTAGCAGAGCAGTAGAGATTTGTTGTTTTGCTTCTGTCTGATCCCGAGAGCCAGTCCTCGCTCTCTGACAGGCTCCATCTGCAGGAGAATGACCAGACCCCGCAGCCAAACATGTAATAAAATGTGAATAAAAAAAATCCAGGTCCTCTCACTGCTCACAACATAATGTCATTTTAGGAAACAGAAACACTGTGGGAGACTTATAAAACAGGTATCACCATCCAGTAAAGTGGAGTTTACATGAACCCCGCAGGGGAACATTGTGTGCAAGACTGAGAAATGGAAAACGAAGCATTTGTCATGGCTACCTTCCTTTATCAGTTCAAACAGCTCAACTACCATCATCTTTGTTTTCAAGCTGTTACAAACCAGAGCAACCCAGGCTTTAGTCTGATTATTTCTGAGCTACTGAAAGGGCTCGACTGCTTTGGGCACTACAAGCAACTACAAACACAGCTCCAATCAACATCATATTAATGTGATGTAGAGGTTGAAATATTTGTTCTTCACCTCAACAGTAACACTTCAGTGACCTGCAGAAAGAAAAAATGACGCCAATGCATTAGTGCCTTAAACCTGCATTTTAACTGAAGGCCACCAGATGGCGATACCTGTGGTTGCAAAAAGACTTCCAGTCCCATAGGAGGCTACAGGGAAAACAGCTTTCTGACTCCACCTCTATAGACACTTTTTCTATGAGTTTAAGGTCTTAGTAACAGTTTTATTCATATTTAATAAAACTTCAATAAAAAATCCGTGGTAACTTTACTTTAAAGGTGAGCGAAGGAGCAAGTAGTTTCACTGCAGCAGCAGCCTGCTAATGTCCAAAGCTCCTTCCTACCAGAATTTAGTGTGAAGGACTAGCTCTGCTTTCATTCCACTAATATGCATACCTAACATGAGCTGCCCTTTTATATTACTAACCACACGTGCACACAGAGGTTTTCTGCAGTAAACTGAATGAATGTTGCTGTTTGTCTTTTGTGTTTCAGAAAATGCTGGAAGCCTCGCAGCTCAGTAAGACTGTCCAGTGAGGAGGATAGGTGTGCCTGCAGATACTGATGATGACACACTGTGGTTTACATTACCGTTCTGAACCTCGCTCTACATGTGTATGTATTCACAAGAACAAAAGTGTTACCTTTGGAGTTGCGTGGCTGTTGTTTCCCCCATTCCCTCACACTGGCTTGCACTGTTAATCTGCAATATCTTCACTGCACCATTGACTAGTTGTACAGTTTTGTGAAGCATACATGATGGTTGATTCAGGTTCATTGCTGTGTACCAAATGTTATACGTTGCTCTTTAAATTGGATGTACTATAATGTTTTGTGTTGCAGTGGTGTGTGTACAGGAGATGAGATAAATGCGACAGATGTTCAAATCACAGAGGGATGCTGTACACATGATATACTGTAGAAAATAACAATTTTATATCCAAATCTTTTCATTAAGTAATTTCTGTTATGTTCTGTTCTTCTGCCGCTGAAGTCACTTCGGGTTTGGTTCAGTGTTCAAGTGTTAAACTTTGTGAACTGCAGTTAGAATAAATAAGGAGTTCTAAGCCTTCAGGATGTAATAACTAATAATCAACTGACCTGATTGTATCTCGCCTCAACAATCTAATCTGCTTTTTATCCTCAGCACAGCAAGTATGGAGGCAAAAAAGGCCAAAAAGATCTAAAGGTTCAATGCAGCCATCGACACACTCAATGATGTGGATTTGATCCTGATGTAATTAGTTTGGTCTGTAACATGGCAAAACTCTAAATTACCTTCACACATCAACTCACACAGAAGTCTTTAAAAGTAAAGTTTAGAATGCGCATTTATCAACATGACCGGTTCTTCAGTAAATGTTAGATCTCACAATATGATCCATGTCTTGGCCTTCCTTTGCTTCCATACCCAAGAGATGTTATAGAGCAGTCTTAGAGCAGGATATGTTTTCAATGCACTCTTATGAAACTCCCAGGTGCCTTGGAATGCAATGCAGTCCCAAATATTTGCTTTTATATGCTCTATTTACATGGCAAAAAACATGTAACACCAGATTTGAATAGTCCAATGCTCGAATAAAGTCACAACCAAAGAAACCAGCTGTATCTGCTCTGTGTTTGTACTTATTGGAAGTGTCCCGTCTCAGTCCAACTGCTCTTTATTCCTGGTGATGTCGTTTGTGAGGACAGGAAATGGAGAGCTCTTAAAATGATAAACTCTGAATAAAGTTGTACCGCACCATCTGCTCTGGAAACTTCTTGGTTACTTGAGCAGTGAGGGGGAGAGCTGAGGTTGCCAAACGTAGAGAGTAAACCTCCTCGGTGTCACGCAGACCGTTAATCACCGCTCGCTGCTTTTCAACACCTTCACTGACACATATGCTGACCCACACGGATTAAAAAGCTGAGAGACAGTTAATCTGGAATCTGTGAGGAACTCCAACCAAGAAACTATTGGTTATATTGATTTTCAAATCAGTGAATCATTTCTAATATAAACATTCTTGTCCACATTTTTCCCCACACGCCAAACTGGTCAGGACGGATGATTTAAAAAGAAAGACCCGGACACTTGAGTGTAACAGACAGTTTTCCACATTTTATTTTTTGATATTACCATAGCTATATGTAACATCTGACAACAGGTATCAACTACAGAATAATACACTGAAAATCTGTCAGTTCCAACTCAACCATTTTCTTCTTCTTCTGTTGCTTTTTGGTCCGGTTACATTTCTGCCTGATTCTCTCCTCAGTGTCATTGAATGTCAAACATTGAAACACATGCACGTCATTCACCTGGATACAGCTGAGTAAGACAACAGTCAAACAGACTCGACGGTATGAACAGAATCGGATCGTTTTTCCTCACACAGCTTTATTTTTAGCTGAGACACCCATACGGTTTTACTACAGTAATTATCATAAGGCTAGATTACTGTACAGCTATGCACCAAAAGGTTCACTCGGCTGTTCTAGATAAAGAGAAAGAGCACCGTATTTACAACTCTATTTACATTTGGTTTTTAAAAACGAATCTCAGACGACAACCAAAGAGAGAAAACATATTTAGAACATTCCTTGTTTTTCATTTTTTTTCCGAGTCTGAAGCAGCTGCTGTGTGACGCTGCACGAGTTTGGAATCTAAAAAAAAAGAAACTAATGAAGTGTTTCTGTACAGATAGCTGCAACACACGGTATAGCTTATTGCCAATGCCCTTAAAGAGTTCCCCCATTTTCCCTTTCCTCTCTCTTACTTTCGTTTGTTTGTCTTTACAGCCAGCTCCGAAAGCCGGAAGGTGCGAGGCTCTGTCTCGTGCGCGCTTCCTGCCGGTTTACCCAGGGCACGCGCTTCTCAAAGCTTCACACCCGCTCACCCATCATAAAAAATAAAACATTTTCAAACATCAGATTGCTCAAAAAAATGTACAAGTTTTGAAAAAATAAACTTTCTTTTTCACTGTATATACATACGCTGCACCCTCATGTACACTTAACTTTGGGGGGGGGGGGGGGGCCGTGAGCGCGGGCAGGACCACGGCTGCAGGACAACAGTGATTAACCCGTAAGAAACAGCACGACTTCTGCACCCACTCCTCAAAACGTGCTCCGACTTTCATCTCAGTCACAATTGCAGACAAACGCGGTGTGACTGAAGTAACACACACAAACTCGTAATTTCAGGTGTTTCTGTATGGAGCCGGTGTATGGTTTGTAGAGATGCAGCTCCTATTAAAAGGCACAAACTGACGATGGGGTTTTTCCCCTTTCTTCAATCACAGCTTGCTGACTGACATGTATCATTTAAGACAAACTGTCTACAAAACCGAACACAGAAACACACCTAAAATGACTAAAACCTTTGTTTAAAGTGTCCAATGTCAGCAATTAAGAAATCTTTTAACAGATAGATGCTGTTTACGAAAAACAAAAAAAGTGTAAAACATCTTGGACATTCAACAAATCATCCCAACTGAAGCACAGTGGAGGGAGCAACATGGTTTTGGCTGCTGGATGCCCTGAAGAAGAAACGTACGACAATAATGCAATGAAGGTGTTTGTTTTTTCCCCTCTCTCTTCTCATCAGTCTCTCTTTTTTTGGATAATTTCTCATTCAGCTACAACGTAACCAGATATGACATCCAGGAACGTGACGGCATTCAGAGAATATAGAAACAGAAATGTGAGAGTTATGAATTCTGCTCCTAAGCCCATAGAGCCAAGCAACAATTTACAAAGTTGTGTTTCATCTATATCCGAGGGGGGGGAAAGTATCTTTCAGTTTAACTTTTGTCCACTACAGAGGGCATGATGAATAAATCTTAACAGTCACCTCAAGTTGCTTTATACTGTTAAAACCCGACAATATTAGAGAGAAAACTCCAGCAATCTGTTAATTCCCTATGAGCAAACAAACGATGGTGGGAAGGAAAATTTCCTTTTTAACAGGAAGAAACATCCAGTTGAACCAAACTAAGGAGGGCCGGTCATCTGCCTAGAGCTACATAGGAAAAACATGCTGCATGCATGCTACATGCTGCATGCACAGTACAAAGATAACTGCAGGGTAACAGGGCGAAGTCACCAAAGTTTTAAAGCGGTGTTTATTTGTCTTGCCTGGTGACTGGTTTTTATATCTGGGGAAAAGCAAATTCAGATGGGGACTTCAAATTAAATGGATTATTAAAGAGGTGCCAAGACTTAAATCTACAAGGGCTCTGATGTAACCAAGTACTTTTATTCCACTACTAATGTATGAAATAAATGTTGGTATTTTTCTCTTCTACACATTTAGAAGAGAATATCAGTGCAGCAGTCCACAATGAGGTTGATATGGCAAAATAATAACAAAAAATCTGATTTTAGCCTGAGGTGTTTTGGCGAGAAGACTACTGTTTAATGCTGACATCACAGAAATATGAAGCCTCACGGTATGTGATGAAAACACAGCCAGTTCTAGAAGATGTTTTGCAGAAACGTTTGTCCAGCATGAAATTTTTCTTTGCTTTTGGTGTGAAGGCACCATCAGAAACAGCGTTAGGAAACATGGAGGTTGTTCTTGCTAAACGAGGTTCAACATAGTCAGAGGAGCTACTTTTTTCAAGCCTGCGCTGAGAGATTCTGTTTAAAAGAAAGGCACGAGAAGTGTGTGTTACTGAGATGAACGTCGGAGCATGTTTTAGGAGGAGTTGCTGCAGAAATTCTGATCATTCTTCAGGGTTAAGCAGCTGCATGTCTCTTGCAGCAGCAGCTGGGTTAATGGCAGGCAAACACAATATGTTCCGTCAATAAACAACACAAAATCATGTGAATAAAAAAATAAGAACACCTCATTTTTGAATGTGTGGTCAGCAGGAACTCTTCCAAACCTGTTTGTTCATCTTGCTACAGTATCAATGCAATGCTGCCCTCACACACACACACACACACACACACACACACACTTCTTCCCACCAGCTTCTGTGTGTGTGTTATTTAAAAGCTGAAAGCGTGCCGCCTCTGTAAAGAGACACTGGTACAGATTTAAAGGGTTATGACCAACAGTTTGCACCGAGCTCAATTCAGCAGAGGATACATGGTTCTTAAAAAAGAACAGAAAACAGATTGTCTGAGTGCAATACAGAGCCCAGAGTGGAGTGAAAAGCCACCATCTCCTCTCGCCTCCATGGACAGAGGAGGTCAGATACGCTGAACGGACTCAAACGAATGGAATCCACTTTATGTTTTTCTATTTATCATCAGCGATGTCACTGGCAGCTAAGGTTCAGAGGGGAGCGAAGGTTCGACGTAAAGGAGGGAGAAGTGTGAGTTTGAGTTGTATCAATAAGCAGGCGTCCCCGTCCCTCTCCTCTGCCAGCTGCCCGCTACAGCTGCAACTACAAGTGCTTGTTATTTCGATTTTTACACCTGGAGTGTTTGGACCACTGATACTTTGAGAAAGAAGCTTTGATTTGATGGGAATCGGAAAAAGTTATGAGACTAAAGTTTTAATTTTACAAGGAAAAGGATCAAAATATTACAAGTGAAAAACCCCCATGAAGTCAAAAATTGCCATTTCAAGAAGAAATTAAGTATTTTACAAGGTCAAAGGAGAAAGAAGTTACTCTTTAAAAAGGCCAAAAAATATATTTCAGCTCTTTAAAATAATTAGTATTGACAACTGTGTTAAACACTTTGAGCCTGCTGTAACCACTTCATGTTGCTCTGATGTCCTCTTAAATTCACATCAGGGGGTCTGCTGGGATTATCAAATCTGTTGCTGACATGGAGAAGTTTTGTTTAGTTTTTTTCTTTTTCGGTGTCTCAGTCTTGTGAATGTGAACCCAATCGGTCAACACTTGAACTAAATTACTTTTAAGAATCAGCTGTTAGCAGCACAGTTAGCACAAATTGGAGTTGTTACTGAAAATCAATTAAATCTGGAAATCTGCCATCATTGATGAATTATTTCCAGTAGCCCCTCCCACACCCACAGGTGTACGCTGTGCTCATTTTAGACCCCATGAAAAATGAGGCGCTTTTCCCCCCCACTCAAATGAAAAACAGCTGAAAATTTCTACTACATTCAGTAAACCTTTTTAAATGTTGTTTTACTTGAAGTACTTATATGAGACTGATCAACCATTCTGAGTGAGCTGGTCCCATGAAAGTGGTAATGTAAACCAAACTGTCACTGTAGCCTTGAGTTGTGTAAAAGCAGTACGTTTTCCAAGAACATCTTCCTGAAAGCTGCAACGCCACTCAAAATTTCTGACTTCCAGACTAAACTAAACTGCACATCAGTTATTTAAGACCTTTGTAAAGAATGATTTACCTTCTTGTCACAGTGGATGAATCAAATGTATACAAGTTTGTTTTAGCACCTGTACATTTGCTGCATGCTGACTGTAAATAGGTTATTTCATTGTTCCATTTACCCATCTGTTAGTATTACTTCTTAACAGCTCCAGCTGATATTTATTATCACCTATTTCTGATATTATTGTGGATTTTTGTTAGAAATAGTGAGCCAAAAATGTTAAGAAATTCAACTTTGTCTATATCAACCATCTTTCATTCTTTGGTTGACAAAGTGAAAGATTTTGTAATATGTTTTCAGGAATATAATTATAATAATGACCTTCTCCTAGAAAATGTAAACTTTATCTCAGAGTACAATCACTTTTTCTTCCCAACTTTGTCATACAGTTACAACTTTTATATGTACAGGTTTGTAAAATTACAATTTTACCTCGTGGTATTTTTCCTTTTTTTTTTTTTAATTTACACTCCAATAAATACTTCTCAAAATGCTTTTCACAGTGGCCCTAATGCTCTGCTCTTCAAGTGGACCTATTCTGCTTTTCCTTCTTTTCTCATAAAGGCGCTGTTACGTGAAACAGTACGGAAGCTTATTTTACACTGTTTCAGACAGAGGGTGAACTAACTAGTATGAAGTCAGTCAAATTAAAAATGATAAGCAATTATTATTTTAAACAGTGACTCATGCAAAGCCACTCTAATAGAATCCACGAATAAAAACCACAAAGCTGGAAATGAGCAGAACAGATCCACTTTAAATGCGAGCCTCCTTATTTTAAATGCTCTAATACAAATCATTTAGAATGTCAAAGTGCAGTCAGGACACATAAAACAAGAATATAATGAAAAACATAAAAACACTAATAGACATTTATAACCACCAACAATTGGTAGGGAGCAGGGCACGGAACAAAAAGTGACAGGAGAGGTGGTGAGCTGAGAGGCAGGTGGTTGTGGGAGCTCAGCTACCTGCTACAGCAAACTAGACAGGAAGGTTCAAAAGCAGAGTAGTGTTCAAAGAAACTACCTGAAGCAGGAGGGGAAGAGTGACTGAGAAAACTTGGTGTCGGTGGGTCATGGTCCACAGCGAGCTTCAGATGACCTGGCAGCAGCTGGCTGGAGCTGAGGTACAGAGCAGGCCATCCCTGGAGCCTCCACCTCGCTGGATGTTGACAGAGATGGTCTTCTCGCACAGAGGTAGTTGAATCACGCTGTTCTTCAGGGTGCTCAGGTTGCCATGAGTGTTCCTGCCACCCGGGCCGCTGTGCGGCACGGTTTTGCGGTTGTGATGGTGTTGTGGGGCATGGGTGCGAGGCAGGCCGGTGATAGTGGTGGTGGGGAGGGTGATGGTGTCCAGGCTCCCGGTGGACCCGATGCACATCCTCCAGGTGGACTTCTCCTGGATTTTCACACTCCCTCCTGAGAGGCTATGGGGGTCTATGATGAATTTCCCCCCACCCCCTCGACCACCTCTCCCAGCGTGGTGGTGCTGCAGCTGTGAGCTGAGGCACAAGCTCATCAGCTTGAGACTCTCCACCAGCTCAGCGCTGCGGCTTGCAGTGCGCGAGGCCCGGGGCTGAGAGCCAAGGGACGGGTTAGTAGTGCTACTGTTGTTACAACAACTGGAAGGGCTGTCTTGTCCTTTATTACCCCCTCCTCCTCCCCCACTCCCCCCTCCTCCACTGCCACTCTGTCCTCCTCCGTTACCTCCCGCTCCAGGACTCCCCCTGTCTGGGCCAGAGGACCCTCCTCCCTCAGTGGGGGGCTTCCCCTGCCCTGAGCTGCTGCCTCCACCGTTCCCCCCCTCGCTGCCAGGTGGCCCTTCACTGCTGTCCCTCCTGTTCCAGCTGTAGCTGAAGCCTGAGTCTTTATCCAGGCGCCTCCGGTGGCTCTCGGAGTCATCATCGCTCGTCTCAGAGCTCGAGCATGACGATCCCCTTCCCTGACTCTTGCGCCGATGATAGCGCTTCTGCGTGGATCCCGGGGACGACGACGAGCTCAGAGTGCCGGCGTTCCCGGCCATGTTCATTTTGAGACGGCTGAGTTTGGGCGGCAGACCCTCATCCATGTCGAAGTCATCGTCGGACTCTCCCTCCTCTTCAAAGATCTGGTTGAGCACTGGGGCACTCTTCCTGGACGTAAGGCGGTTGGTGATGGAGGGGGGCTTCCGCCGCAGGATCACCTGAGTTGGTAGGGGAGACGGGTCCTGCTCTTCCTCCTCCTCTTCATCCTCCTCCACTCTGCCAAACAATCAGACATGACTGAGTTGACATTAGAATACAACCACAAAGCAATGACAGAAAACTCGATCCTCTGTTTTATCATCAGTTGCTCGATGGATCATTTGCTCTGTTAGACTACAGGGGGGACAGGACTATTACAGCCGCCATTTTCAGATGCCTCATTTTGTCTAGTTTCTGAATAAAAGCTCAAAAATTCAATTTCTGACATAATACAAAGAAATTTAGCCTGAACATTTAAGAAGCTACGAAATGCACACATTGAAATAGAGTACAACTTATTGTTCTGCTTTCAGTTTTAGGGATACTGAGGACACAAAATAATGTTACACTGTTGAAAAGTCCAGAGATCAGACCTGAACAGGCAGGTTCGCTGCTTAGCTGCTGCTGAGGTGGAGGGAGTGGGAGTCCTGATGGTGCCAGGAGCAGGACCTGAAGCAGCAGCACACGCTCCCTGAGGCAAGAAGAAAATACAAGAGCATGGGCATTAAAACAGGGTGCAAGTATGATCAGCTGCACTGTTTACAACTGAAAGTAGCTGCGAAGTGTGCTCTGTTCTGAAAATGACTCTCACTGCTGCTGTCCCTGCCTTTAGGCTTTACCCATGTGTAAAGTTTGAGGACCCAGAAAAGAACCACACACACAAATAGAACAACTTACTACAGAGGCAATAACAATCTTATTTACTCTCAGATGGTCCTACTAGCGCTGCATTTGATGTATTAAAAAAAAGCTTCATTTGATACAGACAAGGGATGATGATGAGTGTACCTGTGCCGACCCCGGAGAGTCAGTCACCGTGCTCTCTTCCCGTCTGCCCAGCTCCATCATGGCCTTAGAGCGATGTCCATTGAGCAGGTTCTCAGCACTGCGAGCAGGGGACTGAGGGCCTCCTGCGTGAGAGATGGACGAAGCTGCTAAACTGTCCTCAATATCCTGGTGCATATCCACTCTGGTGGGCCAGGACTGCCTGTAGAGATAAGAAAAAGGATTGTATCAGTTGATACGTTTTCTTTGATCTTCAAAAGACTTTATAGTCAATTTATACTCTCCTCAAGTGACTTGGATAGTTATTTATACAGAATAGATCACTCAAATATAGACAACTAGAGAAGACAGGGACAACACAGGGATTACACTCATGACTTCAAAATGATATACTGCGTAAATAATATCATTACAGTATATATGTGGGAAGAGATTTTAACTGGAGACATATGACGCAGGGTGCTTTTTTGTTCATCCAGTGCAATCACTTGCAGCAGTATCCAACTGTATGTAGGTAATTAACAGTGAGGGCTTAGGGTTTGGAGCTATGAGCATCTTTATAACTTTAACTATAAACAGTGTCCAATGTTTTGATCAAAATGTTCATCACTATTTGCAGCCACCAGACTAGATCATCTGGTTCATGATCCATCACAATTCACAGGTTATTGACCGTAAAACAAAAAATGTGACCTTGACCTGAAGTACAGTTTGGCTGAAGAGAGCATTAAATTCTTTATTGATTAACTGACTGATGAACTTTGTTTTGGTCTGACTCTATAGCAGCTATATTTATTAAAGCTACACTTTGTTATATGACAGCATCTGTTCCTTTTAAGTTATTATAAATTGATGTGGTAAACATTTGGATGTGGCTCCACTTTCTCTGTTATGGACGAGCGTGCACACAAACACAAAGTGGGATTACCTTCCTGGAGTCTAGAACAAGTAGACTGACTATATCAAAAGAATCATTCAAAATAATCAGGGCCCCCCCGAAAAGTTAAGGATTGATAAATAAAGGATTTTAAATAGAAAGCGAGGCGGAAATTAGCTTGTGTCTGTAGATAAATGGATGAGTGATAACTGATTTTGCAAAATGTTTTATGGAAATCATGGCTTTTCTTTTCAAATCAGGTTGACAAATCCAATTACAGGTCATTACTGTGCTTTATTTATTTTACCATCCTCTAATAGAGCTGCCACAAAGGCCACACTGTATCTTTTTTCATTGTTAGCTAAACCACAGCCTCTCTATTCAGTGGTATAATGAATAATGCACTGATGAAACACAGTCTGTACGTGGAAGAAAAAAAAAGAAGCTTGTAAAAGCAGATTAGTCAGTGATGCAGGGACCTGTGAATGTCAGCCAGTGGAAATTGGAATATTCTTAGTAAACTAAGACAGATTTTGGCAATAATACAGTTGTAACTAAAGCTCGTGTTATCAGAGTAACACCAAATATATTTTATAGAGTGTTTCAAATCAAAGAACAGTCAGTATTCAGTATGCAATCTGTTATACAGTTTATCCCATGAAGTGTCTCTATTAATAAAGTAATTTCAAATCTGTGTTTTTACATCATCTGCATGTCACCCATAGCTCAAAATGCAGCTCAATTCTTCTTCACAAACAAGCGTACAGGACCTGGTTCATTTCTATGTCTCTGGCAGAAAACCACTTTGATAAGTGAAAGATACAATGTGTATGCTTCCTTCCACATGAGTAGCATTTACTCAAGAAAAACTCGATCAAACTTCTACCAACTGTAATTCTTTTAATGGCCACTTGAGACTCTAGGACTGGGCGATATATCGAGTTTTTAAATATATGGATATACTTTTATACGAGATAAGAGATGTGACAATATCGTTTATATTGATATAGTCTATGTTACGTTATAATTATACTTGGAACCGCAAGTTTGCCTGTCTTTCGTCCACTTTTGTCTCTACGCTGCGTTCCTCTGCCTCGCCTCTCTCCTTCACTCAACACAACTCCCCCCGTCTTTGTTTTTATGCTCAGGTCTTTTTAGTTTACATTTTGACTGCACAATTGTGAGCTTTTTGTTATGCACAAAACAACATTGTTTTATTTTATTTATGGAGAATTATTATTTAATAAATCCTGATAATTTATTTCTGAGTAATTTTTTCATGTACATTTTATGTTAATAAAAGTACCTATGTGAGATCTGGGACACAGCTTTGACTAAGAACTCTCTTTTTGTTCTTACTTTATGGCTTTAAAAAAAATATCGAGATATATACTGTATATTGCCATCCAGCTAATTCAATTCAATTTTATTTATATAGCGCCAAATCACAACAAAAGTCGCCTCAAGGCGATTCATAGATACAGAGATCAAGGATCTCAGATTCCCACAGGAGATACTTGATCAGACGGATTAGCAGCTTTCTTGGCTGCATTTCTTCAGCTACATGTCACCTTGCTCTGCACCACCATCTGAACACATCAGTCACAGCAGACTGAGAGGCCGGCACAAGATCCTGCCATAGTTTAACCCTGCTGTCATTAGGAAGAGAACTGGTAGATACATGTCACACCGATGCCATCCCAGTGGATACATGTCTGACTTTCCAGGGCTGCGTGTAGAGTGTTTTTCTGTAGCTCTGTTCTAAACACGGCACTGCACATTAGTGACGGCATGAACTTGTTGGTTTATCCAAGTGTTCAAGCTGCCCGTTTAAAGTGTTGATTATCCCGGTTGATGCAAGTGCAACAGTACGATGGTGGTCAAAGCAGCAGAAGCCTTGTTTGTATAAGGTGTCCTCTGCTGTTATCATGACTGCCAAAGAAATTAGCTGAAGGCTAACAGCCATGTATCAAAGCCATCGCACAGTCTACACGAACCACGCTCGATTGATTTGCTCTGTCCATGTAGCATTACGGCCTACAGTTATCTAACTTTACTGAAATCTGACAGTCTGTGGGTGTCTGCACTAATTAAACATCATTGAAAGGTGGTTCAGTTCTTATAGGTTGTCAGGTTTTTCTGTGTGACAGCAGTTTGACTTTGCATTAGATTTGTTATAAAGTAACTGGTTACCTAAATCAGCGGTCTCCAACCTTTTTTGCGCCACAGACCGGTTTGTGCCCGACAATATTTTCACGGACCGGCCTTTAAGGAGTCGCAGATAAATACAACAAAATAAAACTAGTACCGGTACCGAAAAAAGAAGATTTATTCATAACACACGTGAAAAGACCCAGGAAAACTGAGTTAAAGAAAAAAAAAGATAAAAACCCTGAAAACCATACATTTCACACCCGAGTCTCAACTCTCGCAGCCCGGTACCAAACGACTCATGGACCAGTACCGGTCCGTGGCCCGGGGGTTGAGGACCGCTGACCTAAATGGTGAGCGATTGATAGAACAGGATGTCTTGATCTGAGTATCTGCTAGGGACACTGAAGCCAGGAACAATTGGTCATTGCCTGAAAAACTTAATTACTTAATTACAAAGTGATGGGTTCCCAGATTTGAGCCTCCTAGTTTGATTGAAGTTTTGCGGGGGTGGGGGCGACTGGGCTTTAAATAAGGTCCTGAGCTCCTTTAAGTCAGAGTCAGCAGTCAGGGATGAACACTCAGCAGAATCGGTCCACAACAGAGAGCTGTGCACTCTTCACACTACACACTTTGTAACAACACCTCAGACCTTGACAAGACATTGCAGCTTAGCAGTGCAGCATTTGTCACATGCACACACAATTCATTTTCACAGAGGAGAACACAGCGTCCCTCACGACGCTAATAAGTGTGTGGCTGTGTGTGTAAAGACTTCAACCTTCATTCACAAATGCATATGTGCATGTTTTGGGAGTATTTGCGGGTTGTTGGTTTTTTTTTTGCTCCTCCCTCAGGGTAGGTACTCTCAAGTACCTCACACTGTGTTACATCTGTATGATGTTTGATCTAGAGGTGTCCCCAGAGTTCTTTGGTCCCAAACAAAAATGTCTTTGGTGGTCACGTGTGTTGCGAGGGTTGACTCTGGTGTGGAAGGTGGACTAGCTTGTTTTAGCGTTTATTTTACTCATGTTGTAGCTTCAGTTAAACTCCACAGTAATGTAACTAGTCCGAGTTTAGGGTCAGTGTAAGGTTAGAGTAAGGCTGGGGACTAATTATGGTAAAGGTTTAAATAAGTCGCTGTGAAATATCTAATGTCACGCCCTCCAAACACATGGAGACACAACTCTGTGTGTGTTTGTGTGTGAGTTTGTGCTGTGGGTTTTTAAAGTCCTGCTTTCTGTCCTCGCTGATGAATAATGACGTGTTCAGACTATTAGCAGGGCTAGCAGTGGCTCTGGGTTCAGAGACGAAGGTCTGTAGACAGCACTGTGAGCAAGAGATGATGCTTTATCTAAGATTTTCATCGTAATGAGCTGTGTTTGTATCAAGGCAGGATCTTGATACAAACTATCATTTGAATTGTTAATCTGTGGTTTTAGGAATATAAAATGTGTGAAAAACCATTTTTCAAAAATATTTGTTTTTCAAAATAAATGAATCAACTTAGTTTCTTTTTTTTTTTTGTTTTTAACACAATATCCAAGTGTTTTTCATAAAAGCAGATTGTCTGAAAAGGCAAAACACAGTTGTGTCGATGTAGCTGTCAGCCTCTAAAGCGTTGCTTTAATGTGATCAGCTGGACCTGTGCTAATAGTGTTTTTAGCCCTCAGCGTAGACACGGCATCACCGTCTTTGTCTGTCAGTTTGTGTAGAACTTTGTAAGAACTACTTTGCTGACTCGAGACCACGTGTTCATACATATATGTACATTTTCTAGCTTTGATCATTCATCCTGCTTGTCAGTGTGAACATTTCACAGTCCATCCACCCACCCAGACCTTTAGCACGTCCTGGGTCTGCCCCAGGGTCTTCTCAGATCACATGTAAGGCATCCAGGAGGCATGCTGGTCAAATATCTGAACCACCGTAATTGGCTCCTTTTTAATGTGAAGGAGTAGCAGCTCTATTCTGAGCTCTTATTGAATGACTCAGCTTCTTGCCCCATTGCTGAGGATGAGCTCAGACACCCTTTCTCAGCCACTTCTATCTGTAGAAGTACTTCTGTTTCACTTTTCCAGGCATTAGCTCCAGCTCATTGCTGTAGGTGAAGGGTAGGAATGTAGATCAACAGATTCACCTTTGGGCTAAGATATCTGTAGACATGCTGAACCAATCTGCCGATGACAGTGCCCTCTACGCAGCAACTCGTCCACTACCCAGAGAAAGCAATGCACCTTTATCTGACTAACAACAGTGGCCTGTTTCTGTCCTGAATGATGCAAGTATCCCTTATGTTGAGGGAAAAACAAAACTGAATTATAATAATTAAACAGTTGAAAATGTATTTGCTTTACCTTGTCCAGTCTGCAAGAATTACATTTAACTTGTATGATGTAAAACCAGGCTTTAGATTTTGTTTGCATTAGAATACATTAATTAACCTCTTGCCAGAAGCTCGGAGGAATTATTTGATTAAAACATGAGTCTGAAGATGCCCCTCTTCCCTTAATGCTGATCTTGGCAAAGTCCTGCGCAGCAATTTCTTAAAGTGTGAGCTGGAACTGTTAAGGCCAGCTTGAGCCAAAAACTGTCCGCACTATTAGACTACACCTCCATTTAGTCTGTATATGTCCTCCTCTCTGAGCTCCCCCAGCAGGCCCCCAGCAGGCAGACCTGTGGGGTTGGACAGCTGTGACAAAATCAGATCTGTGACAGAGGATCAGGTTTTTGCTTACAGTGTAACTAAAGCTTGCATCGATGAAGATGAGCTACACTGTCCTTCAGTCCTCTTAGAGAAACATGTAGTTAGCAGAGCAGTAGAGATTTGCTGTTTTGCTTCTGTCTGATCCCGAGAGCCAGTCCTCGCTCTCTGACAGGCTCCATCTGCAGGAGAATGACCAGACCCCGCAGCCAAACATGTAATAAAATGTGAATAAAAAAAATCCAGGTCCTCTCACTGCTCACAACATAATGTCATTTTAGGAAACAGAAACACTGTGGGAGACTTATAAAACAGGTATCACCATCCAGTAAAGTGGAGTTTACATGAACCCCGCAGGGGAACATTGTGTGCAAGACTGAGAAATGGAAAACGAAGCATTTGTCATGGCTACCTTCCTTTATCAGTTCAAACAGCTCAACTACCATCATCTTTGTTTTCAAGCTGTTACAAACCAGAGCAACCCAGGCTTTAGTCTGATTATTTCTGAGCTACTTAAAGGGCTCGACTGCTTTGGGCACTACAAGCAACTACAAACGCAGCTCCAATCAACATCATATTAATGTGATGTAGAGGTTGAAATATTTGTTCTTCACCTCAACAGTAACACTTCAGTGACCTGCAGAAAGAAAAAATGACGCCAATGCATTAGTGCCTTAAACCTGCATTTTAACTGAAGGCCACCAGATGGCGATACCTGTGGTTGCAAAAAGACTTCCAGTTACAGGGAAAACAGCTTTCTGACTCCACCTCTATAGACACTTTTTCTATGAGTTTAAGGTCTTAGTAACACAGTTTTATTCATATTTAATAAAACTTCAATAAAAAATCCGTGGTAACTTTACTTTAAAGGTGAGCGAAGGAGCAAGTAGTTTCACTGCAGCAGCAGCCTGCTAATGTCCAAAGCTCCTTCCTACCAGAATTTAGTGTGAAGGACTAGCTCTGCTTTCATTCCACTAATATGCATACCTAACATGAGCTGCCCTTTTATATTACTAACCACACGTGCACACAGAGGTTTTCTGCAGTAAACTGAATGAATGTTGCTGTTTGTCTTTTGTGTTTCAGAAAATGCTGGAAGCCTCGCAGCTCAGTAAGACTGTCCAGTGAGGAGGATAGGTGTGCCTGCAGATACTGATGATGACACACTGTGGTTTACATTACCGTTCTGAACC